AATAGATACTTCGATTTGACACCAACGAAACAGAAGAAAATATATATAAATCAGACTTCATCAAAATAAAAATGTGCATCAAAGGACATAATCAAGAATGGGAAATGACAACATAAAGAATGGGAGGAAATATTGTATTTGCCTTTCACATATATATAAAGGTTTAATGTCCAAAATATATCATAAATATGGATTGCTTCACAAATTTGAATTTGCGTGTCATCCTTACACAGGAGCCATGGTGATCTCTCTATCGTTCCAATGTTAGTAAATGTGCTGCCAAAGAAAGCACCCCATGTAGGATTTAAGTCTATGATTCATTTTAAATTTTTATGTAAGGTGTGAGGTTTGTCAAGTTTCAGTTTTTTGCCTGTGGATATTCTCAACTCATGAGGAAAGGGATTTTCTATTGTATTTACCCCTAATTTTGTTCATAAAATTGTGCCTGAAGTTTCAAGCTTCCTTCTGTTTGGAAACTTTCTTTAGTTTTTAAGGTCTACTGGTTAGAAATTCTGTTTTTGCTCAGAATGCCTTGATTTTCCCATTCATACTGAAAGATTCTTTCACTGGATATAGAATTCAGGGTTTTTTTGTGTCTGGAATACATTGTTTCATTTCATTTTGGCTTCCATGAGAGATCTCTCATTCAAGTAATTGTTCATCTATAAGGAATTTCTCTAGCTGTTTTGAAGATTTTTTCTCTGTCTCATGTTTTTAGGTGTTTTGTTATACTTTGTCTTATATATAGGGTCTGGCAGAAGTAAGGCCTGCTTGAGTGTGGTTGGTAGGGTAATAATATGCGTATAATAATTTATAGTTTTAATTTGAACATTTTACCTAAAATGTTATATGGTGTGCTTGAGTTTGATATTGTTATGTTACAGAATTACTTGCTTATGATTTTGTGATAAAGGATTTTGTAATTAAAAAGGAGCATTATTTGTGCCGGACCCTATATTTCTTTGAGTGTTTCCTATTTGGGTTTGCTCAGTTTCTTGCATCTGTAGACTTAATGCTTTCACCAAACTTGGAAACTTTCATCTATTGTTTCTTTGAATATTTCTCAGCCCTATAATCTCTGTCCTCTACTTCTAGGACTTTGATGACACAAATGTTAGATCTTTTATTATGGTCATAGGTCTCTGAGGCTATAGATGTATAGTTTATTTTCTCTTTGTTGTTGTCCACACATTCTATATATGATCTGTGTTCATGTTCACTGATTCTTCTTCTGTCACCTCTAACTTAATGTTGAATCCATTCAATGAAGTGTTTTTTCAGGGCAGGGATGATAATTTTCATTTGCTTTTTTTTTTTTAATCTCTTCTATTTCTTTGCCACATTTTCCCCCCCAGAAGTATTATAATTGCTCATTGAAACATTTTTATAATGGCTGCTTTAAAATCCTTGCCAATAATTCCAACAGCTAAATCATCTCAATGCTGGCTGGCACTTGTTATCTTTTCTCATTCAAGTTGTGATTTTCTGGAGTAGGTTTTTTTTTTGTTTGTTTTTTGTTTTTTGTTTTATTTTAGAGGGGGGGAAGGGAGGAAGAAAGAGAAGAAGAGAAACATCAATCCATTGCCTCTTGCATGTATCCAGCTGGGGATCTATCCTGCCACCCAGGCATGTGCCCTGAGTGGGAATCGAACCAACAACTTCTTGGTTTCCAGGCCAGCGCTCAACCCCCTGAGCCACACTAGCCAGGGCTCCAAAGTGGGTTTTGATGGTATCTTGAACATTTTGGTTATTATTTTCGAAGATTCAGGATCCTATATGCCTTCTTTTTTAGCAGGCATTCACTCTGTTTAGGTTTAGTGTGCAGGTCTTGCTGGCCCACTTTTTGGACTGTGGTTCCAATGACTATTTAATTTTATGAGCTTTTCCAGTTGTGACTACTATATAAGAATAATATGTATTCTGCTGTTGATGGATGAGATGTTCTAGATTAAGAGAGGGGTATGGGAATATCTAACTAATTGTGGATTTGTCTGTTTCTCTTATCAATTCTATCAGTTTCTGCCTCATGTGATGTTTTATTATTAGATGTATACACATTTAGGGTTGATATGTCTTGGAGAATTGACCCCTTTATCACTATGTAGTGTATTTTTATACTGATAATCTTCCTTGTTCTGAAGTCTACTTTGTCTGAAATTAATAAGTATTTCAGCTATTTGCATAATAATTTACCATATTCATTTTTTTACTTTGGTCTAAGTATTTATATTTAAAGTGGGTTTCTTATAGATAACATAATTGGGCCTTGCTTTTTCATCAAATTTCACAATGTGACTTTTAACTGGTGTGTTTAGACCATTCTCATTAAATATTGATATAGTTGGGTTAAAATCTACCATTTTGCTATTTTCTGTTTGTTGCATTGTTTGTGCTTTGTTTCCATTTTCCCATTCCTGGTTTAAGGTGAGCATTTTTGTTTTCATTTTATCTTTCCACTGACTTATCAGTTACACTTTTTAAATTACTTTTGTGTTTTTTTTAGGATTAATAATAAACATTTTTAATTCACTTTATTGGGGTGGTATTGGTTTGCAAAACCATATAGGTTTCAAGTGTACAACTCAATAAAACATCATCTGCACACTGCATCGTGTGCCCACCACCCTAGGCAAAGTCGTTCTGTCCTCATTTTTCCCTGCTTCGCCCACCTCCACCTAGCCCTCACCTCCATTCTCTCTGGCCATCACCACACTGTTGTCCGTGTCTATGTGTTACGTATATGTGTTTTTTTGGCTAATCCTTTCACCTTATTTTATCCAGTCCTCCAACCCCATCTGCTCTGACAGTTGTCAGCCTTCCATGTGTCCATGCCCGTGTTTCTATTTTGTTTGTCAGTTTATTTTATTCACCAGATTCCGCATGTAAGTGATAGCATATGTTATTTTTCTTCTTCTGACTGACTTATTTCACTTAGCATAATAATCTTAAGTTCTATCCATGCTGTCACAAAAGGTAAGATTTCCTTCTTTTTTTATGGCTTTGTAGTATTCCGTTGTGTAAATGTACCACAGCTTTTTTATCCAGTCATCTGGGCTGTTTCAGATCTTGGCTATTGTAAACAACACTGCAGTTAACCTGGGGGGGGGGGTGGTGTTCTTTTGTATTAGTGTTTCAGGTTTCTCAGGATATATTCCCAGAAGTCGGATTGCTAGGTCAAAAATAGAGTAAACATTTTGAAATAATTTTAATCCACCTTCAAATAATTTGCTGTTTCATGTGTAATGAAAGGACCTTATAACAGTATATTTCCAATTCCTCCACATTTCTTATGCCTTATTTTTATATATTTTACTTTTATATATTCTATATATACCCAAGACATTAGTACTCTGATTGCTTTTCTGTTTTCTTTTTTAATATGACTACTAGTAATACTTATTTTTAAAAAGTTATTAAATGGTGACATTTATTAATAAGTTCCCATTATTCAGTGTTACTTATTGGTAATGTTGCTTAATAAGATTATATAAGTTTCAAGTGTACAATTCTAAATACATCATCTGTCTATTGCATTGTGTGCTCACTCCTGTCACTTGACCCCTTTACCTTCTTCAGCCTCTCCCCACCCCTTACCCTCTGGTACCCACCATACGTTGTCTGTGTCTAGGAGGTTTTGTTGTTTGTTTTTGTTCATTTGTTGCCTTCTATAAGTTTTTAAACTGCATGTGTGGTTCCCGTTATATTTCTATTGAACAGTGCTGCTGTAGCATTGTGCCTGTCACCTATCCTACTACCTAACTCCTCTCATCTGTTTTCCAGTTCTGTTTTTGGTACTGTTCATTATATCATGTTCTATTTTGAATTTTTCCTTCTAGGATCTGAATGTTGGAAGTGTTTCCCTACTTTGTTTTCTTAGCGTCTAAACTGAAGGGTTTTGGTCTTATTCCATAGCTTTGAAGGGATAAGATTGAAATGGGAAGGGAACTATGGTATACTTTCTTTAAGGTTTAGGCAAGTCATTTTTCCTATCATCCTGGCATTGGCTACATGCAAAAGAATTAGTCAGGAGCAGGGCCCAGGAATCTAGATGACAGTTATGTATACTGAAGTTGGAGACCCACTGCCTTTGCCATTTATTGTCATAGTTTATAGCCACTTATGAATAAATTTCATCTTCCTACTAGATTGCAATTCCTTAAGGGGACATTTTTGTGTTGGTAGTTTTCAAATTTACCACTTAAAATTTTTTCTCTGTCATTTCTACTTAATCTGGGGTTGAACTTTTGTTTTAACACATTTTCTTACTCACATGGTGTGCCACCTAGTGGTAGTAGAGGGTAACTATGGGGTAAACTTGCATTCCCCAACATTTAATTCCATGGTGCTATATGATGACTTGGAGTGCTATTGTAGGAAGCTTTATTGAGAGAAGGAAGCCACCAGTGGGTTTTAAATGTATGTTCTAACACACATCAGTTTTATATCAGGGTTATGTTTCTGTGTACTATGTGTGCTTTGTGTATAGTTTGCCACACACCAATATTATTTGTCTTAATTAGAAGACTTTGTAGTTGGCTTTTGTTTTATAAGATTTATAATTTTTATGACTTATGTTATTAGCAAGGCAAAACTACCTAAGAACAGAATGCCCTGACAGTTTAGGGACTAGACGAGAGGCTGTAGATGCCCTTAAATAACATAATATAGTAGGAGGAATAAAACATGTAGACAGGTTTCATTTTAATAATTGTATAGTTAATACTCTAAGAAGTATAAGTGAAGCATCATATCTGGAGGTGGACTGAGAAACGCTTTATGAGAAAAGATATTTCCAAAGGTCATCTAGTGGCATATGTGATGTCAGTCTGCTGTGAAAAGACACTGGCCAAAGCATCCCTTCTCGGTGTTGAAGACTAATTAAGAAGAACATGGGCTCTGGAACCAGGCTGCTTGGGTTTGATCTGAGTAATCTTGAGGAAGTTATAGATCCTTTCAGTCTTAGTTTTCCATTTTAACAATGTTGTTCTCTTTTCTTATAGGAAATCTAAGGATATAATCAGCAACACAACTTCTCACAGTACGAAATTCTGTGCTGATTGTGATGACTTATCACAGGAACTCAGACATTTTAGCCAAGAAGGTACACAGTTGGTTGAAGAGTGTGCGAAACACTGTGTTAAACTCAACAGCAACCTTGAAATAACATCTCAAGAGACTGAACAGAGATGTGAAGCTCTGAACACAAGTGTACTTGGTTTTTCTGAACAGTGGCTATCTTGCTTAAACAAAAGGGCAGAGGAAATTCAGAACCTATTGGAGGTAATAACTTTGTAACTGAAACCTTACTTTGGGGTGAATAGTGATAATCAAAAAATTAAGTATTCTTGGCTAAGAATTGGTTTTGAAACAAATGACATTTAAAAATATAATAATGACTTAAATTTTTTTTTATTAAAAGATTTTATTTATTTTTTAGCGAGGGAAGGGAGGGAGAGAGAGAGAGAAACATCAATGTGTGGTTGCTGGGGGTCATGGCCTGCAACCCAGGCATGTACCCTGACTGGGAATCGAACCTGCGATACTTTGGTTCGCAGCCTGTGCTCAATCCCCTGAGCTATGCCAGCCAGGCTAATGACTTAAATTTTTTTAAGTGTATTATAGTTGGTGTGTTTATCCATGATCTTGTTTCACGTGTATGTCTCCTAGATCTCAAAATTATTTAACATTTGTCTGCTCTGTATCTGTTCTTGGTTTTTGACTTGCTAGTTCCTTCAGTTAAGGGCACTCTGCCTTTTGGTATATAATCTTCCACTTATGTATCTTTTTCACTTTTCTCTCTCTTTTTTTTTTAGATTTATTTATTTTTAGAGGGGAAGGGAGGGAGAAAAGGAAGAGAAACACCAGTGTGTGGTTGCCTGTCACGCACCCCTACTGGGACTTGGGCCCTGCCACCCAGGCCTGTGGCCTGACTGGGAATCGAATTGGCGACCCTTTGGTACTCAGGCTGACGCTCAATCCACTGAGCCACACCAGCAAGGATGCTTTTTACTTTTTTTTAGTAGATTCATATTTGTTATTTCTTTTAAGTATTTAGGATGTTGTTCTGGTTGCTCAAAGAATACTTGATAGGTTTCTGAGTTCGCTTGAATTTAACACTTGCATGAACCCTTTGTTGGCTTCGTTTTTCTTTCTGTGCAATAACAAGATTTCTCTAATATTCTTAGGAATTAGGTAAAAGAATTTAAGTATTTTATGCTATATAAGCTATCTTAACTAAAAGGAATCAGGATAAAATGGAAAAACAGCAGATTTCAGGTTTGTAGCAGAAAATATACCAGATGAGCCTAAATATCTTGTCATACCAAACAATAAGGAATCTATTCTATCTTCGTTAGTCGGAATAATGAATGAAAGAAAATGTTTGGGTGACCATACCCAAACTGACTGATTAATTTTTAAAAGTTTTTTTATTGATCGATTTTAGAAGGAGAGAGAAAGAGGGAGAGAGAGAAACATTGATTTGTTGTTCCACTTATTTATGCATTGATTAGTTTTTTCTTATATGTCTGATGGGGGATGAAACTTGCAACCTTTGTGTATCAGAGCGATGCTCTAAACAACCGAGCTACCTGGCCAGGGCCACTGCTTAATCTTAAATGAAAAGATACAACCAGGTATTATGTGCTTTCAGTACCAGCTATGAAATATTCTTGCCAAAAAATTAAGCCTACTGTAGCCTTGTCTGCCCTGCTCCACAAGCTGCTGCCTTGCTGCGAGTCCTCCGCCTGGCTGGCTGTCTCTGCCCCTTCTACTGGTCTGGATGAATATATCTTTTTTAACTCCTTGGTTGTTGGACTTCCATACAGTTTGATTTTCTGTCAGTTCTGGTTGTTTTTTGTTTTTAAATTGTCCTTCTTTTGGTTGTGCGAGGAGGCACAGTGTGTCTACCTACGCCTCCATCTTGGCCAGAAGCCAAAACTATGGTCTGCCTCATTCTTTTTTATAGTTACCAGTAATTTAGATCAAGCCTTTGGGTCTAACTAGTTTGTAGAAAATAGAGGACATATAGATATGAAAATACTGCATAGGGTTGTAATTGACCAAATCCAGAATTTGAGATATTTCTTAGAGCAAAGGCCTGATTTCTTCGACAGCAAAATTTTTTTTCAAGGAGAAAAATATGAGGAAGAATGAACCTGTATTAAAAGATTAAGACTAGATGGTCTTTTCCTAGGTGATGTGGCTCAGTTGGTTGGAGCGTTGTCCTGTAACTGAAAGATTGTGGGTTCAATTCCCAGGGCACATACCTAGGTTTCCAGTTCAATCCCTGGTCTGGGTGCATGGGGGAGGCAACCAATCGATGTTTCTCTCGCACATCAATGTTTCTCTGCCTCCCTCTCTCTAAAAAATCAATTAAAAACCATCCTCGAGTGAGGATTTAAAAAAAGAAGAAGAAAGACTAGATGGCCTTAAGTCCTAGTTTGTCTGGGATAGCCCTTGTTTCGCATCTTTTGCAGTAGGGGAATTATTAAGAATGGCCCTTTTCACTCTGAAGAATATTCCAGTTTGCATGATAAATTATATAGGACTTACTTAGGGCACATCGCCCAAATGTAATAATAAATTCTGATTCAAACAAAATTTGAAAAACACTTGACAACTGGTGAAATTTGAATGCTGATTAGACATTTTATATAAAGAAATCACTGTTAAACTATTTTGATGTGAGAATGGTCTTAAAAAGCTCTTAACTCTTAGAGATGTATGCTGAAGTAAATGGATGAAATGATACCGGGTTTGTTTCAAAATAATACTGGAGGGAGACGGAATAAATGGCCAGTCTTTTTGAGCTATAACCCATTTGTTGATAAACGTTGAGGCTGGGAAGTGAATACAAGGGGGTTAATTATATTCTCTATACTTTTGCATGTGTTTTAAAAACTTTTTATGGAAAATTTCAAGGTAAGGGGAAATGATATATTGAGTAAAGCAATGACAACTTTGATTTTTAGTAATAAAAGTGCATTTGCAATCATTTACAGGTTGTAAACCAAGGTTGTGAGGCTTCAAGTTCAAAGATTACTGAAAAATTAAGTGAACACGAAGCAGCTAATGAGAAACAGCGTAACGTTTTTCTTGGTCAGATAAATATGGATGAAGAAAAATTAATGGCACAAAATCTAGAACTTAATGAAAACATAAAAATTGGTTTGACGAAGCTTAATTGCTTTCTACATCAAGATCTGAAACTGGATATCCCAACAGGTACTTTAAGAGGGAAATAGAATTATTAAAGTTTCGAAGTTAAATTCAACCTTGTACAGTGCCAGATGTACTGAAAAACTAGGTCCTGCCATTGCCTGATAGGAATTTACCACATGTAATCAACTTAAATGTGGAAAAATGGGAACCATAAAGTAGCTTTAATGAAGCATCAGATGTCATGATATAGGTGACGCATACTCCTAGAAATTTGGGCATCACGATTCAGCAAATTTAACAGACATTAAAGAAACTGCCATTGTTATTAGAGAACATTTTAAAAACAGGAAAGCAACCAACTGTCTATCTAGCACTGTGATTTATTTAATTACATTCCTCTATTTTTTGTTCATATAAAAATTAGGAATTAATTAAATAAATCAATTACATTCCTCTATTTTTTGTTCATATAAAAATTAGGAATGTAATTGAATAAATCTAGTTTAATGCAAAGCTTACCACATTGTGCGTTTTCTTATAAGCACCTCTCATGTTGTCATGGGCTGTTAGATTGGCGTTTATGACTCACCATTTTGGGGAGTCTAACAAGCTAATTAGCACAGGATGAGTTATTGAGTTACTCATTGGATTGTGGCAAATCCAGTGGATTGCAGTAATGGTTGCATATCCTGGAAAGTTACTAAAAATTCAGTAAATTTTATGGTATATACATTACACTTGAGAGTCTTTTTTAAAAGGCAATTGTAAAAGGATTTTGCGATAAATATTAGTTCACTTTTTCCCTAAGAGTCCTGTAATATTTCAGTCCAGTTTTCAATAAAATTAGGAATACAAATGTTAAGCAGAAAGGCAAGTGCCCATGTAAATTATGAGAGCATGAGTTCATTATAAAGCAGTTTAACTGGTTAATATTTAGTTCCTGTCAAATTTATATGAAATGATCATTCTTCTCAGTATGATCATGTTGGGAAAACTGCTTTTATTCCATTAACGCTGCCTACGACCCCTCTTCTGTACAGCCTCAGAGATACAAAATTTCATGTTTTGAAAACAGTTGTCTCTATTTAAGATCGGTTGTCAAGTTAGGAAATACTTAATAGTTGTAAGCAATATATGCCCAATAGGTGACAAGACTAATAGTGTAAGTTGTAGCATTAAAAAAAAAATCTTGTTCACATCCCACTCTTCAATTTTTCCTGCTTAAATGATGTCTACTAAAGGTACAACACCACAGAGGAAGAATTATTTATACCCGTCAACACTGGTGAGAACTGAACCACGCAAACAGCTCCTTGACCAGTTGAAAAAGCAACAGCCTGAGCTGTTAATGATGATAAACTGTTCAGAAAACAAAGAAGACAGCAGCCAGGTAAAATTTAAAACATCAAAATTTTAGAGCTCTCCTATAAACTCTTGATGTCATCGACTGCATGTGGAGAGTTTTATTCTTTCCCCTTCAATCCTACCCTGTCTCATTTATAACAGTTGTCTGACCATTACGCCTGTTTCTTTTAATCTGGCCATTTTTTCATTAGACTACTGGATAATAATAATATCTAGTATTTATGTTGTGCTTATGTGCCAGATACTGTTGTTCTAAGCTCTTTACAGATATATTTACTCAGTTCTCTTAATTACTCTGTGAGGTGGATGCTAGTACTATGTCCATTTAATAGGCGAGGAAACTGAGTTATGTTATCCCGAGCCACAAGGATGGAGTTGGTATTAGAACCTAGACAAGCTCCACAATTTGTGCTCCGAAGTATAGTAATTCTAGAATAGTTGGGAAATCACAAAGTAAAAAGAAGAAAATAAAAAAGAAACTATAATCCCATTCTGAGAATACCACTTTTCACATTTTATTTTAGGTACTTGTCTGTATGAGAACATATTAGGGATTATTTTAATTATTTTGTAGACTTTTTACTAATTTTGTTGAAGTATAAACTTTTATACAGTGGAAAATGTGTTACTTTCCAAGTAGAAAGTTGCCTTTACTTTTGGGAAGATTTTTAAGCGCTTGGACTTAATACTTATCCTGCTTCTTATTTTAGGACTCAGATGAAGAAAAGGCAGTTCTGGAGCACACTACAGAAGAACCTCTAAGTCAGGAGCCATCTGTAGATGCCAATGTGGATTGTTCATCAAGTGGTGGGGTTCCATTTTTCCAGGTACATGATTATATCCTGTCAGATAACCCTTTCACATCTGGTATGTCAGTCATTTGCTAGTCAGCATAAACGCATTACTTTTGGTAGGTGGAACAATGAAATATTTTTAGTCATTCACTTGGAATGGCTTGTGAACTTCTCTGATTTAAATTAATTACACAAATTAGATCATTGTTCAGAGGTTTTTCTGTAGGACAAAGGCAAAATTTGATTTAATCTCCTTCAGTTGGTAACCTGCGACTGCCCTTTTTCTGCTTCCTACTTACTCGGAATGGATACTGAGAACAGTCATTTCTCTTCCCTCCACCTTGGACGTGGAAGTCCTGGGGCCTCTCTGCCCATAATCAGACTTTGAGGGCTGTGAGGGTTTAAAAGCTTCAGAGACAAAAAGCCTCTTAGGTTATATTAATGATTTCTTTTGCCTGAGGCTTTGCTCTTGTTAATTATTCCTCCTTGTTTCCTGAGCTCCTCACCTACCTTGATGTTGTACGATTAAATCCTGTGAAGTCTCCTATGCCCTACACTTTTGGGGAGTATGGCACTATGAACTGCCTAGCACCTTTTCCTATGTTTTGAAGACAAGAGCTTAGACACTCTGTGAGATAAAGATTTCATTACATAGCACAGTGATGTCTCCATTTTACAGTCATAGTGCTGCTTCTGATACGTCTATGCTTATACTTGTCTTGAATGGACTTGTAGGTGTTTCCACTAGGTTCCGAAGATTGTTAAATTCCTCTCTGCCTGACTTAGGCAATTTTATCTCCAAATTCTTATTTTTGCTTTATTCCTTCCTAGTAGAGGATTCTCTATATATTTCTTTTCATTTTCAACCCTCTCTTCTATCTTACAAAGTTAAGAAAAGGGGGAAAGTTAAAAGAAGTTAATTAGTGTTTGAAAATCCACTCATTATTATTGTTTAAGGCATTTTGAAGGCCAGGCTTAGTGGTTCAGTTGTGAGGAAGTCCCTACAGTACTAAGAAAGATTTGGGATTGGATTTTAGACCTTTAGCTGAAGTCTGGAAGTTATTTTTTCCCTAATAGCATTCTGATGGGGAGAAGTTTTCTGGGATTAAAACTCTAAAGTAGGTCATGTTTGTCTCAGCATTGAGTCTGGGCCTGCAACTGATGGCCAGCCCCATGTGACAGCACATGTAAGGATTCCAATGAAATCTAAGTTCCTAAATGAGAAATATGAAATAAGTTTAAATAAAGATAAAATATAGTTTTTAAAAAAGTGTCTTAAGGTACCCCATATATCAGATTCTCTGCTTAAAATAGTATTGTCTTTTGGGGGGGCGGTGCTGACAGCAAATCTCTGTCTCCCTACAGGGTTTCTTCACAGCAGCACTACTGGCATTTTGAGCTGGACAGTCCTTTGTTGCGTTGGCCTGTCCTGTGTGCTGTGTATTATATGTTTCCCAGGACCCCTGGCTTCTGCCCCCTAGTTTTAACAACCACAAATGTCTTCAGACATTGAAATGTCCCCTAAGGGGGGATGAGGGACAAAATTGCTCCCTGTTGAGGATCACTGTACTACAGTGAAATTTGTAATTATGCTTTGGAATATCATACAGAAAAGTAATATCTTTTTACTCCACTCTTTCCATTGGTGGTAAACGAAGCAGGCATTCGTTTAAACTTGCCAGACAGATTTCTGGTTCAAGTTGGTGCTGAGCCTTTTTGGAAGTTCTTCACACTTAATTTCTTTCCTACAATCCAGAAAATTTTGAAAATAGAGTGTAGCTAATTTGTATTAAATGTTACTTTATGTTGACCTAATTTCTCCCCTTAAATCCACAGCATAAAAAATCACATGGAAAGGACAAAGAAAATAGAGGCATTAATCCAGTGGAGAGGTCTAAAGTCGAAGAAACTACTGAGCAATCTGTTACAAAGAGCAGATTACCTCTACGGGCCCAGATAAATGTTTAGATAACTTGAGGGTTTTGATTATATTTTTAAGAAAATTGAAAACTAAAACCCGTAACCCCAGAACTTGAGCCTTGTGTATAGATTAAAAACAGTAGAAAACCTCAAGGCAATACTGTAAATTTACTTACATTTAATGTTTCTACTCATTTTTTCTGTCATCCCTCTGTAATTCACTATATATTAAGTTGGGTTTCATTTGGAATTTTCATTGACTACGTATTTCTAGGTTTTGCTATAAAATTGTCTTTTCATAACAAATGAAAAATATTTTTCTTGTCTATTACTAAATAGCAAATGTACAGAAGCGTCACTGTTATTCTAGGATTGAACTTACAGATAAATATCACCAGTAGTTGGTCTCGGGAAGGACCTTCTCTCTCTTTTGTTTTTGGTATGATTGAATTATGTCTATATTTGCTTGCCTCCTTCCTAGACTTTTCATTCTGCCTTCTTAGCTCAATTTCTCCCATTTTATTTATCAATAAACCATTTGTAGAGCTCCAGAGTGGTATCCATTATTGTTATAAAATAGTCAGAATTTTACCTGGATACCTTTAATAGTTTTCTGTGGTTATTTCTAAAATCACTGTCAACAATAAACAACCCTAGAAGGTCTTTTCAGTATTTTTAATTTGTTCCCCTGTAGGTGTGAAAGCATTTAATTCCTTTATGAGGCCAAACACATGAGCCTCCACAGAGCTCTTGTTATTATGGGAGGCTACCTAGATCTCTGAAGGGCTGGGTAACCCTGTCATAATGCCTGCCTGTGTCTTGTGCAGAAAGTCACAGTGGTTTAAGGGCTTTTTGAGCTATTAATTATGATTATAATTTGTATTCCTTTGTTTACCTGATGAAACTTTGTATTCTTTGTATATAATAAAATGTGTATATGTATATTTTTCCTATTGAAACATTAACCTTTAAAAGAGCTCTGACAATTTTGATCTGACAACCAAATTTCTGGAAGTTGAGATATTTCAGCATGAACAACCAGAACATTTAGGAGGAATTAAATAGTCCCCTCTTATCCACAGTTTTGCTTTGTAGTTTCAGTTAATCACGGTCCAAAAATATTAAATGGAAAATTCAAGAAATAAACAATTCATAAGTTTTAAATTGCACACCTTTCTGAGTAAAATGGTGAAATCTTGCGCCGCCCTGCTCCATCCCACCCGGGATGTGAATCATCTTTGTCCAGCATCCCCACGCTGCATGCGTTGCTGCTCTGTTAGTCAGTAGCAGCCTCCATTGTCAGATTGTTGCGGTGCAGCAGTGCTCCTCTTCAAGGAACCCTCATTTTCTCATTTTACTTCATGCCCCCCAAACATAAGAGCACTGGTGCTGGCAATTTGGTTATGTTAAAAAGAAGCCGGAAAGTGCATCTTGTAAGTGAAAAAATGAAAGTTCTCCACGTAAGAAAATAAAAAACCATACTCTGAAGTTGCTAAGACCTACAATAAGAACAAATTTTCTGTCTGTGAAATTGTGAAGAAGGGAAAAGAAATTTGTGCTAGTTTTGCTGTTGCACCTCAAACTGCAAAAATTATGGCCACAGTGTGCGATAAATGCTTAGTTGAGACAGAGAAGGCATTCAGTTTGTGGGTAAAAGACATGAACAGCAAATGTGCTAGAAAACATTGAGCATATACGAACACTTTAAGGGAGCTTCTGAAATGAATAATACTTTATTTACTGCAAGTCAGGGACAGTTACCTATTCAGGAATAGGTTTGGATTGAAAAGTGTAAAAATTACTGGAGAGGCTGTCTGCTGAGGAAGAAGTTGCTACCACATTTCTGGTAGAGTTGGAGTTGATTAGGTTTGGTACTATCCATAGTTGCAGGCATCCACTGGGGTGGGAATGTTTTCTGTGTGGGTTAGGGGTGACTACTGTATGTGCAAAGAAGAAATTATGTGCCCATGTTAAACATAAATTTAGAGAGGTATAAATTTGATAGCCAAGTAAAATCAAACTCTATTAGAGAATTAGAAAATGTGCTACTTTGAGGAATAAGTTTACCTTGCAGAAGTATTCTCTTTATAAAAATGATATTTCTTTACAAAATCATATGTCAATGGAAGCTATGGATAATATCTAATAAAATAAACTGCCCTCAGTAAATCCATGATTAATAAATTTGGTTTGTATGTTAAACTTGTGTGCCCCATTATTTCTTATTTGGCAATGGGTATGTTTTTAGAGTTAAGCAAATTGTGTTAAGATTTCTTAAATAAACTGTACAGGAACCACCAAGGAAGAAAGCCTTGGTAACATCCCAGGCTTTCTATTCTACTCCAAAGGGCTACATCTTGGTGTAAGAGTAATGAGAAATAGATTAGTCCTCAGGGCCTGATGTCCAGCTTTAAGTCACCTCATTCCCTGACTGTTTTAAGGTTATTGAGGGATGTCAGTGCACCTAGTTTAACTATCTCACAGAAGTATAAACAAATCTCTGGAGAATTTAAGCATCCAGAGCCTTAAGTTAGCTCTACAAATTTACATGTACAGTGTCAAAAAATAACCATTGACAGAAATAGAATAGACAGCTTCAAGGACGCATTCCTCCTCAGAGGTGAAAGAAACAACTTAGTCAGAATTCTGGGAAACAAAGATTTACAGCAAACAATTAAATGCTGAATCAAGAAGGAGAGCTAAAAACTAGCAAAGCTTTTTAGGTGTTTTACTCGTCCTTACTCCGTTCCCATCTCTGAGGTGGTCTTGAAGATGGACAGCAACCCAAGTTTTAGGAGTGAGACGTTGGTTCCTGGTTGCAGGGAAGTAGGTATGATCTCAAAAAATTATTCTCACCTATCTAAGCTGTGTGACGGACTGAAGCAAGGCACTTGCCTCTGTTTCACCTAACTCAGAACTCTGGTAAAATGTCAGGCATTTCTTTAATATTGCTATGGCAAATGAACAACCTGCTGCCATCTGGGACAAAAGATTACAACGGAAGTAAATAAAGGAGTGCCTAAATCTTGAGAGGAAGAAATGCAAGAGCATTTCTTGAAGGAAAGTAGGCCACACAAAAACCACTGTGTACTGGGAAGTTGAGAAAGCCCTTTATGTTCAGGCCAAGTTGCACGCTTAGAAGAGACCTGAGATAGGTCTAAGCTTTTACTGCTGCCTGATACCTCGGATCAGTACAAGCAGGAAAGGAAGACTAAGGCAGATTGAAAATGACCCGCCTAAGCATTGAAGGTGTGCTCCAACAGGCGATATGCAAAGACTGGGAGGATCTTTTTCTTTTAAAAAATTTGTTTCGCTTTTTTTTTTTTTTTGGCCCCTGGCATTCAAGAAAATCTCTGTCAACACACTAGCTGACCACAAGAGAAAAGAAGACTTCAGTGACTACATAAGTCAAATAATTGAGACTTCAGCAAAAAAAGTAGTTTAGTAAAGTCACTAAACAAATTGCCACAGCTCATAGCAACAGAAACATACCCTGAGGCATGACAAAAACTTGATTTCCAGAGTTACATTATAATATTCAAAATGTTTTAATTTCAACCATAAACTAAGGAGCATGCAAAGAAGTAAAGCCCATTCAAAGAAGGGATTACATGAGCCATCCCTGTGGAAGCACAGCCATTGCTTTAAATTAACTGACTCAAATAGAGAGTTGCAGGAAACCAGAGCAATGTTTCAACACAGAATATCAATAAAGAAACTTAAAGGAAACATACATATTTGGAGCTGAAAGCGATAATTGAAATGAAAAAGGTCACCAGAATGTTCCAATAGATGTGAGCCAGTGAACCTGAAGCTAGGTTAATTGAAAATGTTCAATTGCCTGGCTGGCATAGCTCAGTGGATTGAGCACAGGCTGTGAACCAAAGTGTCACTGGTTCGATTCCCAGTCAGGGCACATGCCTGGGTTGTGGGCCAGATTCCTAGTGGGGGGCCACATGAGAGACAACCACACACTGATGTTTCTCCCTCCCTTCCCTCCCTAAAAAATAAAAAAATCTTAAAAAAATAAAAAGAAAATGTCCATTGGAGGAGCAGAAAGAAAAAAGTATAAAAGAAAAATAGAGCCTAAGACACCCAGGGGACACAAACATACCAACATTTGCAGAAAGGGAGCACCAGAAGTCCAGAAAGGATACTTGAAGAAATAATGGCAGAAAATTTGTTAAACTACTTGAATCTGTACATCCAAGAAGCCCAACAAACCAAACAGGAGAAATCAGAGATCCACAACAAGACATTATAATTGAACTGTCAGAAGTTGAAAACAGGATCTTGAAAGCAGCAAGTGTAGCCTTCAGGGAAAGGCAAATCAAAAGCACAATGAGACACTACTTCATAGCCACAAGGATAGCTGTAGAGAAAAAAGCGTTGAATTTCAATAGCAACCCTTGAACATTGTTGGTGGGAATAAAAATTGGTTCAGCCACGAGAAAAGCTTGGTGGTTCCTAAAGATGTGAAACAATCACCACATGACCCAGCAATTCCACTCTTAGGTATCTGCCCAAGAGAACAGAAAAAATTTATCCACAATAATTTCTACACAAATGCTCATAGTGGCACTATCACAATAGTTAAATGGTACAAACAACCTATGTGTTTATTAACATGAACACATGAATGGATAAACGGTGGTAAATACAGTACATACAATGAATTATTATACAAATGAAGTATGGATAAATGCTACCATGTGGATGAGTTTTGAAAACAAAATGCTAAGTAAAAGAAGTCAGATGCAAAATTCATATGTTGTATTCTGTTTAAATGGAATATCCAGAATGGGCTAGTTCACAGAAACAGATTGGTGTTTGCCAAAGTTGTCTGAAAGGGGAAAGAGCTGACTGCTAATGAGTGGTGTTTTCTTTTGGGATGTTGGGAATGTGTTGGTTGGAACTATATAAATGTGGTTATACAACATTGTGAACATACTAAATGAGGTGTGCTTGCATATACCATTTAAGTTTCAACTGTACAAACATGATGTAGTACTTGCATACATGGCAAAATGATCACCAATATAGTCTTAAAATCCTTTTTTTTATTTTTTTAGGTTTTATTTATTTATTTTTAGAGTGGGAAGGGGGGGAGAAAGAGAGAGAGACATCAATGTGTGGTTGCTGGGGGCCATGGCCTGTATGTGCCCTGACCGGGAATCGAACCTGCGATTCTTTGGTTCGCAGCCTGTGCTCAATCCACTGAGCTATGCCAGCCAGAGCGAAATCCTTTTCTATTATGTGATTTGACCTAAAAATAAAAGCCATTCACCATATAAAAGGATTCTTATCATCTACTGAAGAAGAGATAATTGAATCATAGAGCTATCAATATTGTAGGTAGAATTAACTAGCTGAGAGAAAATAGTTCTTAAACTCATGCTATAGTTTAAATATTAAAAATAAAACAAAAATGAAAGTATCAAAAAAGGAAAAAATAAAAATGTATACATTGTATGCCCATAAAACACATCTGTTTATACTCCTTTAAAAAAATAACCCATTAAATCTTCCCATTGAATTGACCCATTAATTTATTAATATAGATACTCCCTTTATTAATGTAGACCCTTTATTAATGTAGATACTCCAGCTTTCTTTGGATTTGTGTTTACATAGTATACTTTTTTTTTTGCTTTTACTTATAAAGAAACCCTATTTGGAGTGTGTTTCTTATAGATAGATTATAATTGCTTTTTAAGAAGATTTTATTCAGTTTTTAGAAAGATGGGGAGGGAGAGAGAAAGAGAGGTAGAGAACTACCAATGTTTGAGAGATACATTAGTCAGTTGCTTCTCACATGCCCCCAACTGGAGATGTGGCCCACAACCCAGGCATGTGCCCTGATTGGGAATCGAATGGATGACCTTTAGGTTCACAGGCTGGTACTCTGTCCACTGAGCCACACCAGCCAGGGCTATAGTTGCTTTTTTCCCAATCTGACTAGCTCTTCAATTAGTTTATTTAGACCACTTATGTGATTATTTGGTTTAAATATATAATCTTTTATTTGTTCCCTTTGTTCTATTTTTCTGTTTCCTCTTTTTCTGCCCCCATTAGAATTAACTGAATATTTTTATGAATCCATTTTACCTTCATTAAAAATTTTGTTTAAGGAGGATCCAAGATGGCAGTGGAATAGTTGGAAGATACATTCACTTCCTTGCATAACCAAACTGGAATTAAAACTAAATTATGCAACAATCATCCTGAAAAACAAACTGAAGACTAAAGAGGTACCTATGGCGAAAGACTTACAGAAGAAGCCACATTGAGACTGGTAGGAAGGGAAGAGATGTGGAAAGAGCTGGCCCCATTCCCATGGGCAGTAGCTGAGGTTCTGGAGGGATCTCTGAGCTGTGAGGGTTCCCCTGAGAAGCATGGGATCTCAACCCCAAGATGGGCTCCCTAGCCCAAAGCACCAGAGCCAGGAAGAGATACCCACATAATCTGGCTGTGAAAAGCAGGGGGTTTTCTGTCCATTTGGGGTTTGTGGCTAAGGGGAGAGAGCTGAAGGGACAGCTGCCAGGATCCCCATGTGAGTCATACTCCCATACCACAGATGCCATCATCTTTTCTGGGAGGAGCACTCTCCTCCATGTGGTATCAGCTTGGGGGAAAGCAATAGCCTCCACGCTGAACTGCATCTTGTGCTACATTGTGAAGCTTACAACCTGCTGTGGAGTCAGCTGCCTTGGCTAGGGTATAGACACCTGGGCAGAATCAGGGGGTGTCAGTTGTGTGGCTTTGGGGCAGGAGCCATATCCCTCACATTCCCGTGAAACTGACTGGTGCTTTGGTCTCATGGGAGATCTGCTAGAACCATCATCCAGGCTTCTGGAAGACCCACCCGCCGTGCTTCTGGTGGCCCCACACGCCCAACTCCCAGTGACACTGGCCTGCTGTGCTCCCTCTCCTCCCAGCTGAATCTGGGGCAGACTGAGTTGTGTGGCTCTAGGACAGGGGCCATTTTTCCATCACACACCCAACCAGAGCAGAGCCTCCCTTCATGTGGCCAAATCTTGATTTATTTGGCCCTGACACACTCTGTTGGCCTCACCCTGACAACTTGTTGAGACCTCAACTCAGTCACTGACATCCCAAGATAAAGGAGTATGAGCACCCAGTGGGTGGCAGCTAGATTGGTATACCCAGGTACATTTGCTGAGTGGCCTCAGACAGAACTG